TTCTGTTACATATCAGTACCAGTAATCATTTGTTTAACTGTATCCTTAAAGTAGTTTGCCATTTTAACAAGTTAGGCAACTCCTACTTTACACCATCACCACGTGTTTCCTAAGAGGGAACAATTACTCCAAAGAAATTACAATAGTGTTTGGTAAGGCTTCCATATATGGATAACTTTTTTTTTTTTTTTATACCAATTGGAATCATGCACTAAATATGACTGGATCAGCTAACAATGAATGGATGCAACTGATGTTAAATCTGTATGATTGGATTTATTAGACTGATTTAATTCTATATATTTCTAGAAATGAGCCAGTGTTTCTTGTAAAATGCCAAAGGATGTCATCTGTGTTGATCTGGAGCTATATTAAAGACTGAATAGAACTGATTTGGTTTACACTGAATGTGCCGACTGGGTCAACAGTGCTAACCTTGTTATATCTGTCCTCTGCTTTCCACTAACAGCACTAGGGGCTAATCCCCACTCTGGCAGCCATTATGAACACAGCTCATCATAATGAAGCCCATTAGTCTCAAGACAATGGCTGCTAGCTTAGCTCAAAGGTTGAATAAAGCAGGGTAAAGGGTGGAAAAGGAGCAAAAAGGGTTCATCTTTTGTGTGCCTTTTGTTGCCATAAGCTGACATTTCCCTCATTTGAGAGGAAGCACTCAAGTCACACGTGTATGTATTTATACAGGATGAGGGAGCTAACGATGTGAAAAAAAGGCTTTAAAGCAGAAGCTAATAAAAGAAACATGACAAGAGTGGGAAAAGGGGTTAATAAGGAAAGAAAAATGGACTATATTAAAGCTGGTATTTCCTTTGGCAAGTACATAAAATGTAAATGCCGGCAGGTGAACAAGAACCTTTTCACTCATGGATATGTTCAGGGATCAATTTCAATAACCTATATTCCTCTGATTAAGGAAAATAAGAACATTTTAAGACTTTCAGAATGTTTAAGAAATATTGCTCAGTAATACTTTTATGGGTTACATTAAAATAAGTTATTTGTAAATCGGTGTAGCTAAAGACCTTTGCACCTCATAGCCTTTTCTGACACATCTAGAGGTCACTGAGCACATTCAGGGTGCTGAAATGTTGAGGTACTTTCATTCACATTTTTTTTACTAGATTAAAAGCCTAATGAAAAGTAAAGCTTAACCTGCTTAATCTCAACGTTCGGAGGAAATCTGTCTCCTAACTGCATTATTTGAAAAGATAATACCATGTTCCATGTGCAGTGCTGCAGAAATTTATCAGTATAAGTATGTGGAGAGTGAAGGCCAGACAAGGTCGAATCAAACTGATGAGACAGTAAAGGTATCAGGATAAAACACAAACTCATCCAACTTTGCCAGATGGAGGCCACTAATACACCATATTGTTTAATATAATCTTTGCAGTATTAGATTTGTTGTGGTGTGCGTGTCAGGTACAAAAAAAAAAAAAAAAAAAAAATCTCCAGCCAAGCAGTTTAAACTTTTCCCGTTAACTGATGTGTCTGCGCATATGAGGTGCATGTGATCTCGAAGAAAAATCTAGGAAAAACCATTATGAGCACTAGAAAAAAATAAAACTGTCCTTTCTGTTCCGAGGCCAGAGGTTATATTTTAAATGCACAGCTGGACATTCAAAACTTTAAAGCTCTTTAAAAATACAGTCCTTTAGGTTTTGGGAACTCTAAATCTTATGGAATTGAATTCCTCCAGTTAAACTGCTGAACCCTTTTAGCATAATGCTTGGTGACCTGCTAAAATGTGTAATTTCACACTAACTGCAAGTCGAGCTCTTAATGTGCTTCTTTTAACCTCTAAAATGTTTCTCTCTTGCATATTCATGGACTTAAAATCTAAATAATCAATTCTTTATTGTCATAATATTTATTTCCATCAATACTTTCATTTTAATTTCGTCTGTTATTGCTGTAAAAAGCCGCTCTAACTATTCATCCAAAACGAACTTTCTATATAAACATGCAAGTGCACGCTAATAGACAAGCTGCTGACCTACATGTGACTGGCTGCAGCCCAGTTTTGCTGGCTCTCACCCCAGGGAACAGTTTCTGTACTGACTGCATATACCCTTTGCATATGCTGGTGGACAGGCCACATCGAAGTAGGTCGTTTAGAACCCCCAAGAACACTTAGTACTGTGCAGTATGACTGGTGCAAGGGTTGGCCTCATGGAGCCTTAGGTGATGCAAAGAGGGCAGGGTCGAACAGCGGGTGGCGTGACAGCCCGATTTCCCCCATCTCTGACACAAAGCTAAAAGATGATTCAGGCTAGCGTAACTTTTGTTAAATATATCTCACAATGAACATATGGACAAACTTTTTGAACTAGATGCTACAGACTGTTCTTAACTTTAACAAATTGTATTGCAAGAAATACTTCGTCCAAGTTGTTTGCAAAAAAAATGATTTAATTTATTGGGGAAAAAAAGGGAACAAGAAAACAAATCTATTGAATCTATGATGTTCAAATGTTTGTTTGGTATTAGTATTTGGAGAAGGTCAGAGTGGCAAGATCTGTGTGTGGTTTGCATAAACAGAAAATACAAAAAAGGGAGGGGGTTAAATGGAAGGAAAGATAAAGCGAAGGTACAGTTCAAGATTGTGTAGCGTTTGTGCTTGCTTAATGGTTTAAATTTAAGAGTTTGTTTCACCTGTTCATCAGTAAAAGGTAAAACCTATTACTAACGCTAATTTTTATAAATTTCCTACCCTAAAAGGAGCCTAATATTATCTTGAGCATCCACCAAAAAAATCTCAGCAATCTAATACTTCATTAATCATATATGATGCATCCGTGTCAATCTTCAGAGACAAACTCTTTACTGACCTCTAATATGTGCAGAAAGAATGGATCCAAACATTGTATAGAGACTAAATATATGACATATTGTGGTGATAGGGTCAAGCTATTACTATGGTTTTATCATTCGGGCCTTGGAGGCTGTAAGAGTTGAGAGGATGGATCAAGACAAAGAACAACTCTGAAATAAAAGCACAGGCTTTTATTAAAAACGAGACTGAGGCAATGGGTCAGTTTTTTTTTTTTTTTAACAAAAAAACTGGATTCAATTGAATTAAATGTTTTATAATTCTACCTTTAAATTATTTACATTTGTTCAGATTTCTCTGAATCGCCATAAAACAAAGATGGGAAGACGACAAACAATCATAAGATCTAGTGTCTACATTTAAATGTCAGGCAATGAAGGAATGGTAATTCTGATACATGTAAAGATTGATAGAACGTCGCATCTTTTACTTTTGCACACTACCTAGACTTGTTTCTAAACGGTATTTATAATTTAAAGTAATTCCAAAATAACATCACAACACAACATTATAAGCAAAACTAAATAGCAATAGTTACATCTACACTATCTTGTTAAATGATAAAAGAGGGGAAAAAAGTCTCAAGAAAATTGGACTGATCATCTAGTGCTGAATTGATATAACTTTGTTATGGCTGCAGGATTTTTGTGCAAACATAAGAAATAAAAGGATTGTCTTTATAACAGCAAAATCTTTCTCATACTGCTGTGTCTGCCACCTCAGTGTTACATGTGCTTCATTGAAGCCTGTTCGTATTCATGTGCTGTGAAGTCAAGGAGAAAGTCTGTGTGTATATATATGTGTGTCTGTGTATAATATAGGAGTTGGCTCTATACTCCTGTGCCAGTGGGAATAACGTACTGCACTACAGGCAGTGTGACCTTTACTAGCTGGCATGCTTTCTCTCCTTCCTCGATGTGCATTTCTCCCTCTTTCACACACTCAGTTTACGACTTACACACAAACACACACAACTAGAAGGACTGTCAAAGGTAGCTTTACCAGCCATCAATTACCCACACTGCTACCTAGATTAATGGAAACGAGGCTTGTACAAATCAGCTGAGACTGAGACATGATTGGAGAGCATGGTATGCTTGTTTTGCCTCTTTTTCTTCAGTAAGGAGTCAAAACATTTATTTTTTATGTTTCCTTTCTTATATATGACCTTTATGGGCATGTGCTTCCTGGAGCAACAGTTTGTGTTCAAACTAAGGGTTATGGCCTGCCTGGTTAGAGGGCTCTAACAATGTTTGAGGACATACATGACAGAAGAAAGACAGACCTATGTAGTGAATCATTTATTGATGAAATACTTTCCTTCAATAAGTTGAAAAAAAAAGACATTAAAACAAAAAATTAGCAGCTTTTCTTTTTTTTTGAGATTTTCTACATGCAAATCCCACAGTATATAAGACTTAAGTTAACGGTGTGTTTTGAAGTATTAGTATGAAACATTACTGTGAATGTATGGTTGATATTGCCTGTGGTAAGGAATTCTACACAGATATTAAGTAGTAAGAGAAAATCCTCTCATGGAATAATGGCGAGATTGGTGGTCAGACTGATGGAGAAAAAAGGGCCAAGCTCGATAACCATTTTGTCATATTTATTAACACTGAAATCAAATTAAAGACTTTTAAAACTGTATACTACATTAACAATCCCAAAACATTTTATCCACTACTCTATAGTAAAAGGAAAACATTCACCTGAGAATTAAACAAATATCTGAGCAACTCCTAGCTCATGTGCATATTTCTGACACACAGAATAAACACAGAAAACAAGCAAAAGAAGTGGGGTGAAGAGGGTGACACAGTGACGGACAAAGAGTGAGCAGGGGAGGAAAGACAGTGAAGAGGGTGGGGGTGGAGTGGGTGGGGGAAGTTAATGCACATAACACACTGCATCAAACCAAAGCACTGCTCCAAGCAGAATGCGTCAGCAGTCCATTCATGTTCCTCTATTTTCCATGAAAAGAAAATGCAAAAAGGAGACAAAATGAAATAAGCAGTAGAAAGCGCAAAAAATAAAAAATATATTTATAAAAATAAAAACTGACATCTTTAAAGAGAGCTAGCCAGAGAGTAAAAGTCTTCATCCACCTGTTTTTCCCAGCACAACATTGCTGGAAAGCTTTGCATTGCAAAAGAAGGACTCTTGATGGGAACTTAAGGGTTAAAAGCTGGTTGCTGTGGGAATACCATCGTCCATCTCTGTCTTTTGCTTGGACAACCTGTGAATTCCCTTGAACCCAAAAAGCCCCAGAAACCCCCAGAATAAGAGAATTGGAATTAAAAAAGGGAGAGAACGACAGGAGAAGCACAGTGGTTCTTGTAGAAGTGTATTTCTAAAAAGGTCTGAGTGCTTTGAGCTCACCCAACTACCTCAGGACACTGCAGAGAGCAGGAGAGAGAGGGGGAGAGAGGGAGAGAGAAAGTGAGCAAGAGAGACAGCACACTCTCTCTTTTGCTGCTACAACGGATCCTTTCCACAACGACGCTGCTGTTAACGTCACGCCTGTAAGCCGCGCTTGCCCGGCGCTTGCCTCCTCTGGCTTGCTTCGTTCCCCAGTTAGATTCTGCATTGGCAAGGGGGTGCTAATAACCACCAGAAAAGGAGGAGTGGGAAAATAAAGACAACTGGAAGAGAGAAGAAAAGAACTGGAGAGGGGGGAAAAAAACTGTACCATCCATTTTCCTTTTAACACACCTCAATCAGCCGAGCTTCGATACCCCCACTTCTCTGGGTACCCCCTGCCACCCCCCACCCCATTATCCTTCTGAAGAATTTGACGGATCATTGGGAAGTGCACGGGACGCAGGCGGCAGCCACAGCTGTGTGTGCTCGCTACTGCTGCTGTGTGCTTCGCAGGGATGGTGTGTTCGTTTGCAACTGCTGCTGTCGCAACAGCGGCTGTGGAAGCTGGAACGTGTGGCTAGTTAAGAGGACTAAGAAGCTAATGAAGGCAGTGTGCATCGCCTAGCCTTTTCAACCACTGCCAAGTGTTCTGCGGGAAGGAAAAATTGCCATCAAGAGGATACAAGACTATTTGAAAAAAGGATTGTATTAGAGGCAAGAACGGTTATAAAGACTGAACTGACCAACTGATTGACTCCTAAAAAGTGGACAAAAAGGAATATACCGAGTGGAGAATGTCTGCTTTTATTTTTTTTTCTATGGCTTCCTTTTAATTGCCAAACAAAAGGCAGAAAACAGGACTACGAGATTCTTTCATTCACCTTAATTTACTGTTTCTGTTTTTATCTTATTTTCACCTCTGGCAGAAAAAAATAACACGTGTGTTCCAGTGGTTGCCTGTACTATGGAGACTTGGGGAAGGTGTACAGCAGGGGAATCAACTGTCGGATTCCAAGGACAAGCGAGAGAAGAGGAGCCGACAGCAAGAAGCAAGCAAGGGAGCAACGCAGCTTTGGGAGCTTGACTGGATTCTTTATTACGGTGTTTTTACTTTTTTTTCCTCATCAGTTCACAAAGGGAGAGAGAGAAAAAAAACACTCACAAAAAGGCCTTTGAACCTTTTCTCTTTGGATGTATGGATTTACAAAAAGGGCTCATCTTGGTTAAGCTCTTTGGCACTGACACCTATTTTGACAGGGCAAATAAAGGTTTCACTTATTGCTCTCGGATATAAATACATCTGCTGAGAAAACTACAGCTGTATCTGATTTCAAAAAGGAGGGAAGCTATATATCTCAGTTGAAGGACCTGTAATATTAACTTGAGGTAGGTGTCTAGTGTTTCAACCCCTCTTGCATCAATCTGTAACACCCTTTTCTCCCCTCTGTATTGTAATACTATTTTTGATTGCCTAATTTACCAAGATGTCGTTCTCATACACATGTTTCAAAAAACCCAGCCCTTCCTCCCCCAACCTGTCCTCCTCTCCCTGACAATTTATGGAAACATAAGAACTACATAATTGAGGACGAGTACGTCCTCCTCCCTTATCCTACAGTTTCCCTATTACTTTTTTTTTCTTTTTTAACTGTGATCCAACCATTAATATTACCATCCATAGAGCTACTATTCTTGTCCTATAACCCACCAACCACCTGTCCCAAACATCCCCATCCTCCCCCCCAGATGATGCTGAATTATGAATGTGCCACATCATGAGTCTCCTGGGGCGGGTAGCTGTGCAACGTGCCAGGAAAGCCGCCCTGCTCTGTGTAGTCTTCCTGATGGCGCAAGCGTGGAGCAGCGCCTCCCTGGCCTTGGCGGGGGCGGCAGTCTCTTTAGGACCCCAGGGCTGTCCACCCCAGTGTTCCTGCAGTAATCAGCAGGGAAAAGTGGTGTGCACCCGGCGGGGCCTGACGCGTGTGCCCCCTGGAATTCCTGCCAACACGCGACACCTCAATCTAATGGAAAACGCCATTGAGGCGGTGCAGGCCGACTCGTTTCGCCACCTGCACCACCTTGAGGTGCTCCAGCTAGGGCGAAATGCCATACGCCAGATTGAGGTGGGCGCATTTAATGGACTAACCAGCCTCAACACATTGGAGCTGTTTGACAACAGGTTGACGGTGGTGCCAAGTGGGGCCTTTGAGTACCTTTCGAAACTAAGAGAACTATGGCTGAGAAACAACCCAATTGAGAGCATTCCCTCCTACGCCTTCAACCGGGTACCCTCTCTGATGCGGCTGGACCTGGGGGAGTTAAGGAAACTGGAGTACATCTCAGAAGGAGCTTTTGAGGGGCTACAAAACCTAAAGTACCTGAACCTGGGAATGTGCAACATAAGGGGAGATATGCCAAACCTAAGTCCCCTGAAGGGCTTGGAGGAACTTGAGATTTCAGAAAATCTGTTTCCAGTGATAAAACCAGGTTCCTTCAGAGGTCTACGCTCCCTAAAAAAGTTATGGGTTATGAATTCACAAATCACTGTAATAGAGCGCAATGCTTTTGATGGTCTATCTTCATTGGCGGAACTCAACCTTGCCCATAATAACCTGAGTGCTGTGCCACATGATTTATTCTCCCCACTCAAGTATCTGGTGGAACTTCACCTGCACCATAATCCTTGGAACTGCGGCTGTGAGGCAGTATGGTTAGCCCAGTGGCTAAGAGAGTATATCCCAACAAACTCAACTTGCTGTGGACGATGTCATTCACCGGCTATCATGAGAGGACGACAGCTTGTTGATGTGGACAGAGGGGAAGGTGCTGCAATCCAGTGTTCTGCACCATTCATTGCTGATGCACCACGAGACATAAACATTTCAGCAGGAAGAGTTGCCGAACTTCGTTGCAAAACAGCCCTAATGTCTTCAGTGCGTTGGCTTCTACCTAATGGGACTATTCTTACACATGCTTCTGGTCACCCAAGAATATCAATCCTTAATGATGGTACCCTTAATTTCTCTAATGTCCTTGCATCAGACACTGGCACTTATACCTGTATGGTCTCTAATGCAGCTGGGAACTCCAATGCATCAGCATACCTCAATGTGAGTGCAGCAGAGCTAAACACATCCAACTTGAGTTACTTTACAACAGTGACTGTGGAAGTTCTTGGTCCAACCACTGAGATGCCCAAACCCAAAACTACTACAACTACAGGGGCTGTGGGTGCTGGAGTTGCTGGGGGAGGAGCAGGTCTCGGGACGACAACTACAACCGCCTCCCCTTCAGTTTTTCAGCCAGTCTTCATCTCTACACCAACAGTCCTGTTGCAAAATACTGACAGTGCAGCAAATGCAGTGAAGCCATCTGTGTTACCAGGAGTCAGAGGTGCCACTGGCAAACCAGGCAGATCTGGTCCTAGCCTGGATGAAGTAATGAAGACAACTAAGATAATAATAGGTTGCTTTGTCGCTGTGACACTGCTGGCTGCAGTCATGCTTATTGCCTTTTATAAACTAAGAAAGCGCCACCAGCAGAGAAGCACAGTGGCAGCAGCTCGTACAGTTGAGATCATCCAGGTGGATGAGGAGGACCTTCCACCACCAGCATCTGCAGCTCAAGAGTCATCCCTCACATTACCTGAAATCCGAGATCACAACAGCATACACAAGTTGGACTTTATCAGCCACAAGACTGATTACAGCTTCCGTAAACCCAAGGCTGAATATAAACCCCAGCCGGATTTTACTCTACACACTCCTAAGGCTGAATATACAACCTACAAGCCAAACATGGACTTCAGCAGCCACAAAACCATTGCAGATTACAACATGCACAAATCGACACCAGATTTCAGCCTACACAGAACAAAGCCAGACTGCAGCCCATTTAGACAGGACTACACCCCTCACAAAACTAAATCAGAATATAGCCCATTTAAACCTGATTTTGGCACTCACCCAAAGGTTAAGACAGACTACAGTCCATTCAAAGCAGATTACAGCACTCATCCCAGGCAGAGATCCGACTTCAGTCCTTTTAAACGAGACTACAGCACCCAACCAAAACCCAAACATGACTACAGTCCATTAAAATCCGATTATAACACCCAAAATAAATCTCAAGTGGAATACAGTCCATTCAAGCATGACTTTGGTACCCACCCAAGGACCAAAGCTGATTACAGTCCATTCAAACCTGACTACAGCACTCAGCCTAAACCCAAAATGGACTACAATTCCCAGAGATCAAAAACAGATATTACCTACAAAACCAAGGAACATTATAACCCCCACAGTACTGCACCAGAATACAGCGCCTTTAAGACCGATTTCAGCCCCCACAAAGTGGATTACAGCGCCTTCAAGTCTGACTTTAGTCCACACAATCAAAGACCTCAACTTGATTATAGTCCTCATAAAATGGACTACAGCCCTCATAAGGTGGACTACAGCACTCTAAAGCCCAAGTACAACACTTATAAACCATCTGGCCAAGGGGCTAAATGGACAGACAATAATGTTGGGAACTCTTTGCCTCGAACCCTACCCAGCGCCATCACAGCAATGGCTGAGCCCTATGTCATAAAAACTCACACAAAAGAGAAGGTACAGGAGACTCAAATCTAAAAGAACATTGACCTAAAGACTTTCACTCCTTTATGTCCCAAGATCCCACCTCCCCGTTCCACCCTTTTTTCTTTCATCATTTAAGTCATGCAATAGAATGCACAAAAAAAAGAACAGAACTACTTTTTGTACAGAGTGCAAACTTTAAAAGACTGACCATTTATTGTTGTACATGCTTATAAATAAATATATATATGGACAAACAAAGCTACCATGGGTTGGTGATAGAGAAACATATATCAAAAAGAAATTGAAACTATTTTCTAACTTGTAACTTCTATTTAAAACAATGAGTTGTTTAAGATGCTGTCTTAAGTTTGAAAAATGAGGGTAGTCTTGTTTTAAAAGGGGGCATTCTGTGTGATTTTTACACCATGCTAGAGAGAAAGCCGTGACAAGAAAGATTATTTATACAGAAAAGACTTTCTTTAACAAAAACCATATAAAGGTCAGTGTTGATCTTTACAGGTTTATCTTGTAAAAGCACCAGAATTTGTACTGTGCCAAATGTTATAAATGCAATAAAAAGGATTTTTGGAAGAAAAAAAGGAAACATTAGAGAGAGATGTTTTATTCGCCTTCTCTTCTTCTCCTGCCATATACTGTAACAATCAGCCGAATGCTTTAGACACTGCAGTAAGACGCTGCAGCTATACTTTAACCCTAAGTGTGCTGAATGATGCTGGCATAACGAATCATAATGCAGGAGTAGACTATTTCTTTTTTTTTTTTTTTTCACCACAGCTTATGTTATCGAGTTTCCATATGAAAAGAGTTATGATTTCAGATGATCAGTGATTGTTGTGCAGATTAAGAGGATTGAAGATGATTAAAGCCATATAATGTTAAATGGGATGCTTACTGGATGACTCAAGCTTGCAAGGCCAATATTCTATTTCAAAAAGCTCATAAGAATGCATTTAGAGAAAAATAAAGGGCTGCTAAGCCTTCAGTTATTAAGAAAGCTTTTCTGGTGAGACACGTTTTCAGGTTTCTCATAAAATATTGACTCTGATGTTGACAAATAATGGCAAACTTTGGAATATAGCATAAGATCAGCTTGCTTTTGAAAAAGGCCAAAATTGGAAATATCCAAGAAATAATCTAATTTTGTTCAATATTAATTTCCGCTGCCTTTTCTGCATAATAATAGAAACAGTTATGTATTTTTTTTTTCCTTTCTTGAGATAATGAGAGGCATGTTACTGGAACATTAAACAAAGCAAAGCTATCATAGGGATTCCATCTTTATAACCTTCGTTAGTTTAAGAACTAAACAAAGAACAATCTGCCTTTGATAAAATTTATTCTATATGTAGTCTAACACTATGTTGAATTGAATGAGAAAATAAATCAAAGATATTTTTATGTCTATCTATTGAAAATATCATGCAAAATTAGTTTTCAAAAATAGTTTCTGAAGGGATTTATACCAATTTCAAGAAAAAGGTAAATCATGAGGGGATTTTTGTACCAGCTGTGTGTGGATATAATTATACCGGTAAACAGATTTTCTAAATCATACAGATATTAGAAGTTTGAAATCAATTACTTAAAAAAAACAACACTGGGAACAAAAAAAAATGATAGGCCTCATTAAGATTGCCTTTAAACACAGTGAATCTGCTTTTACAGCTAAAAAAAAAAAAAAAAAAAAAAAAAAAAAAACAACTTTGAAAACACCATAATCTGTGTAAAAATGAAAACCAAAATTTCAAAGTAAAGGTGAACCAAAATGTGTGGATCTGTCAGGTACCATAGGCAAAATTTTAGCTGAATCTTAGCAATGCTGTTCTGCATCTTCTGTGACTGAGCAACTTAAAGCGAGATCTGGCGTATGCTGCAGAAAACTATTCAGAAGTGAACTGTGTTGTGCTATCTGGTCACACATCTAAGCTGTGCTGTGCTATAAAAGGCTCTGCCATCCCAATCGGTCAAAATGGCTACAGGGTCATCAATCAGCCAATCAGCTTTGCCAGCCTGTAGAGCCCGCGTCTCCATGGGAAACACTCTTCCCCATCCATTCCTCCCCCACATCATGTTTTCTGTCTGTGTGCTTCATTAGCAATCATGAAGCCATCGGAGAGAGGAAGTACGGCAAGATGGACGTATTTAACCACAGCTCACAAAAGCAGCAGGGAAAGGGGGGCGGGGGGTCAAAAGGATGCAAGGCCCTAGTCTGTGAGGGATACGGTAACACTGTCACTCATATTTCTCAAAAGTTATAGTAAAGGGAACTTGAATCCAAAACAAAACAGCCTAATAGAAATTAAATACATGATTGAAGGAAAATGCTGATGAATGTAAAGAGAAAAAACATGATGCAAGAGGAGAAATTAAGTAGAGCTGGACCACTACCTAAAAGTAAATTTGCTTCGGCAAGAGAAAATTTCATTTACTGTCAAACACTATAAATATAGGAAGTTAAAGATTATTAAATAGAGGATATTTGCCAAATAAAATAGATCATGGTGATTTAACTTTAAGAGAAGATAGAGGTAGCAGGAAAAATAAAAGCAGTGTAAAGGGTGAAAAACAGCACGTGGAAAATAACTGAGCAGAGAAAATGTGATGCAAGAGTGCCAACTACAGATGGAAGGGGGTATATAGAAATTACCTGGCGTGGCTATTGCATGATGGGTGAATAGCCTGAACTGCACAACAAGGTGGGTTTGGGGGGGTGACATACAGAGTGGATTGCAGGAGATAAGAAGTGCTGATACATGAAATAGACTGGACAACTGGGGGTACTTGAGCAAGGGAGACCAGCAAATAAAGCAACAGAGAGGGTGGGAGGATCAAGAGGTTAGAGTGAATGGAACTGTGGGGACAATGTAGTACAACCACGTGAATGTGTACTGTTTTCAGAGATAGAAGCCCTTGAACCAGCAGGAAGAACAAGCATTATCCTTGCAATTTTATTCAGTTTAAAGGCAGAAGCTCATTTAGTAAGTTAGAAAGAACAGTTTGAAACCCATTTATTTTGATGCAATCTGTTAATTAGATTTTTTCCATGTTAATTACTACGTACGGCAGTCTATGGGACAGCTCTAATCAAATTCCATTAAAATAGCAGAGACTACAGGGCAGTAATCTCAAAAGTCATTTATCAACTATATACTAACCTCTCAAACAACAAATTACACTCTATCATTATATTTCTCTAAATCTGTCAAAATGGTTATAATCTATTCTGGATTAACTGTGTAAACATTTCATGTTTACCATGTGGGAGGACCACGTCTATGGGTTGTATTGCTGATTTCTTTATAGTGCTTTGTGTGCATTTGAACTTGTGTCAGACCGTCGAGACTTTTGCTACTGAAAATGTGAAAAGTGTTGAAGTAGATGTTCCACTTAAAAATAGTAACTACGCCTCCAGATTGTTAGGGATCTTGAACAAGCTTACTGCCATATGCATTAGTATTCGTCTTTTAGGATAAGATTAAAGAAAGGTGCTTCATATGTATATGATTTGTGTAATTTGAGTTGATTTTAGGCAGTTGGGATTACAATTGTTCATTTAGTTTGCTTTATGCTTATGCATCAATATATGCAAGTGTGTAAATATGTTATTCTGTGTGCAATACAGCTGTAGAAAACTTTGGACCCTCATGCATGTTCTGGTATTTCTTAAAAATATTTTAAATTAATACAATAGCAAATGGAATATTTTAATTTTTTCAACTAGCTTTTTAGAGCCTTGTCTAGATGGAAATCTTTATGTATTAGACTGCAGCATTCCACCTCTTTAGTTGTTCAGGGAAAGCAATCCAGGCCAAGCTTTTGCTTGAGTGCAGTGCAAAACATTTAATTTCTGCAATCACTCTAGTCAGAGTGCTAATGAAGCAGAAGATGTTATTTTGAGAAGACCTGCAACCATCTTTTTCATGGCTCTACATAAGTTTGTCCAGAAGAGATGGTTGTTTTTAATGTAGATGAAGTTATTGCACAAAATGCAGGATTAAAGGAGAAGAAATAAATATAGATAAATCCATTAAGCAAAGCCGTATCAAAAAATGTAGGATAACAACCCCACTAAAATTTTTGATTTAACTTTAATACCTTCAATAATAAAAACATAAAACTTGATATCCTACATTGACAAAGCAAAGTAGATTACTGGGAATCAGTAAATAGAGCTGATGCTTTCTTGGGCATCCAACTTTCACGGCTCAGAAATTAATATTCAACAGCCAGTCAGTAAAATTATTTGTTACTGAGGTGAATGGAGTTATGAGAAAGAAAAAACTGTCAGCATAATGCTGGCTAACATCCCAGTGTTGCTCAGGCTCTAGTTTATGCCAAAACCTCGGTATATTGTGGTCAAATGCAAACAGATTCTTAAGTGAAAACTGGGACCAAATTGCAGGTGGGTTGAGTGACCTATTTCTGCTCTGAGTAGAACCACTCAAGTGTGTTACTCCCTGTGAGACAGAGTTTATTGCCCTTTTGGTGGGTGAAAAACATCCCTGTGTTTTCTTAGCAGCCTGAGACGATGGAGCCTCAGTTTTATGATTCCATCCAATAGCAGAGTCCGAGAGTCGAGCCTGCATGTGTGTAGTAAATCAAGTCCGTGGAGATCGCAGAACAGGGCTAGTCTGATATGACATTTTTGTGTGTGCAACAACACTCAAAGACAAAGGAATGCACACATATTTGTGCACAGGGAAGAAAGAAAAATTGAAGCCACTGGCCATTAATTTCACAGCTTTTGTAGAGATTTATGTCCTGAAGAGAAATCAGGATCATAAGTGCAGCATTGCCGACAATGTGTGTACATATTGCTCTACCAGACAAGTTGCTGTTGTGTCCGTGGCGCCACAAAATATGGTTATTTAAATGCAAAGCATATGAAAGACTGGGAAAGCTTGCGAACAATGTACTGATAAGAAATCGCTGCTTTTTGGATTTTAGAACAAAGGGGAGCCAACAAAAGTCTCAAAGGAGAAAACATAATAACTTTAAGGGTTTTATAGAAAGCATTTTAGGACCTTTTATTTGTAAGCTTCTGAAGCTAGGTCTGGCCAGATTAATGGAGACCGTAAAGGTGTGGACAATTATTTAAACTAATGTAATAGTTAAACTTACGTTAATGATAAAAAAAAATGTGAGGAAAACAGTAAAAATCAGGCTTTTTGGATGAAGTCAATTTTTTGTTTTCCTCAACATAAGAGTCTTTTTTTTATTGAGTCCCTTTTTAATAGCTCCTTATAAAATGTTATCTAAAACCAAATGAAATGAAAAAGCACCTCACAATTTTAAGCATCCAAGCACCTGTTGGATTGGATTCTTTGAATCAAAAAGCTGATGATCTGATTTGTTTTTATAGATTGAAAAGGGTTCAAGGTCCCACTTTTTATACGTTTATGGAAAAATGGTGAAAGAAAAAGGGCATTTCAGCACCTAACTTCAAAACCGTCATTGGAAGCAATCAGGTTTACTGTAACTGAAAAATCCCCAACTCTGGCCAACTGGTTGGTTCAGCTCTAGAACACCAGCACTGAACCAGATCATAAACCTAAATAAAACAGTTGATGAACTGACAA